TCCAGGTCAGTCAACTACATAGTGAGACCCTGTCTCAAAAAAAAAAAAAAAAACCCAAAAAGTTAAATATTGCATGGTTTCTCTTATATGAGAAACTCAATGTATATATAAAGAGTAACAAAGGAGAGCTGGTAGGAAACAGAGAGCCTTTTTGGAGATGGGAAAGGGGATTAAGAAGAGGAGGAAGAGGGACTGAGATGATCAAAATACAAGATATATACTCCCAATTCCTCAAAATGAATGTAATAATTATGTATCACAAACACACCAATAAAAATAAACATGTTCTTCCTCCTGACTGTTATAATTTCCTGAAGGTCAGGGTCTTGCATTTATTATGGGTATTTAATACCTTGCAGTGTTTAGCTAATTTCCAAAATGTAATAAAATATTACATGGCAATTTTAAAGACCAAAATTGCTGGTGACATATTATCCCAGCTTTTTTTTCAGCGCTAGTGATCAAACCCAGGGCTTTGTGCACGCTAGGCAAATGCTCCACTACCATGCTATAATCACAGCCCTTCCATGTTTTATTTACTCTTAGTTGTGCACTATATAACAAGACCTCAGCAAATAACAAGCTTCATATATGACAACAGCCTCATAAAATTATTATGGAATGGAAAAATTCCTATTGCTTAGTGACACTGTAGCTATCGTAACATCATAACACAACCCATGACATGTTTGTCGTGATGTTGGTGTGGACAAACCAATGTTGCCAGTCATACAAAAGTACATCACGTACAATCATGTACAGCACATAGCACTTGATAAAGGTAATAAATGATTGATACTAGTTAATGTATTTATTGTATTATATTTTTATCTTTATTTTAGAGTGTACTACTTATTTCTTCTAAAATAACCTGTAAAAACAGATAGGCCTCAGATAAGCTCTTCAAGGAGGAACTCCAGAAGGCATTGTTATTACAGGAATTAACAGCTCTATTTGTATTTTCCCCCTGCAAACCTACCAGTGGGAAAGGATGTAGAAGACAGTGACATTAATGCCCTGACCCTGAGTCAGCCTAGGAGAGTGTGTGTTTTAATTTTTAATGAAAAAAAGTTTAAAATTAAAAGATGGTTTATTTTCATTTTAAAATTTCAAAAAAATTAAAAATGTGTTCAAAAATACATATAGCTTAGGTACGGTGGTAGGCTATTATTCCATCTAGGTTTAAGTGTACTCTACGATGTTCACACAATGATGAAATCACTTTGCAGCTCATTTCTCAGAATGTATCTCCACTGTTAAAATGGTAATTTCCTGTATTTAAAATGTCTTTATTTCTGCTTCACTATTAATGATTATTTTTACTGAATACAGAATCTTAGATTGATATATTTTTCTTTCAGGCCTCAATGTTGCTCCTTTCAATGGCTATTCATTATTTACATTATTATTCCCCTGCATTTCAAGGTTTTTTGTACTTCAGTGGTTTATGATGTAACCAGGTAGTTTTCTTATTTATTCCTGTTTGAATTGTTTATTTTCTTGGATCTGAACATTAGCCCCGCTTCATCAAAGTTTGGAAAATTTTGGCCTTCATTTCCTCGATCTCACTCTCTCTCTGTAGAACACCAATCACACGTATATTGAAGTATGTGACACTGAAACACTATTCTCTAAATCTCTGTTGTTTCTCTTGGATTTTTTTTTCCTCATTGAGTTTACTGGTACATTTCAGGTATACAGTACAGTCACATTCATCATTGGGATCTCGTACCTTTATATGATAGGTCTTGATGCTCATTTTTTCCCCTTGTCCCTGCCCTCCCTTCCCTATTTACAAATACTTTATTTTTTAAAAGCTCTTCTTCAAGTTGATAATTTCTTTTGGTCTACTTTCAAGTTCACAGAATCTCCTATTGTTTCTGAATCTGCTATCATGCTTATCCAGAAATTTTTCATTCATTTTTACTTCACAATTTTGTACTTTCCAATATAAGAATTCCCCCCCTCAAATTTTTTATCTGTTCATTAATTAAAAGTAAATATTCAAGTCTTTGAACATATTCATCGTAGCTAATTAAAAGTTCTTGGCTGCTAACTGCAACATCTGGGCTATCTCAGTGTCAGTTTCTACTAAGTACTTTTCCTTAAGTACATACCACATATTCACTTCTTTTGCATGTCTGATTTTTAATTGGACAGTAAACACTATCAAAACATTAGAGATTATAGATTCTATTATGCTCTAAAGGATTTTTTCTCTTTTATTATTTAACAAGTGCTTAAATTGAGCTGGTTGTGGTGGCAAATGCCAGTAATCCCCAAATTCTAGGAGGCTGAGGCAGAAGGATTCCAAGTTCCAGCCCAGTCTGTGTAACTTAGACTTTGTATAAAAATAAAATAAAAATTAAAATTAAATGGCTTGGAATGTGGCTCAGTGAAGGCCCTGGGTTCCATGCCTGGTACCACAAAAACAAAAGACAAAACCTAGTTGTCTGGACTTAAAACTCTGAACTTTGCTCCCACTGCAGTCTATAGCAGTGGAAATCCATGAGATTTCTTCAACTAAACTATTTCAGTGATTAGAATGGGCAAAAGCTCTAAACAGAAGTTTAGGAATGAAACAAGAAGGACATCAACTAACCAAACAAACAAAGAGGATAAAAAAGCAGCCATTTGACCAACATGAGAATAAAGAACACTGGTTATAAGTGGGTCACAAATTTAGCCCTGAATTTCCTGATGGCCAAAATGGGCTATCCACTTAGGATGAACTCTACAAATAAAAATGAACTCTAAAATGAACTCTACAAAACAATCCTAAAATAGAGACAAACATAAAAATGTTGCACACACTGATTATAATAGTAAGAAACTACAAGCCAACTATATTCAATAATGAAAGAACAGTTAAAGAGACTACAATGCCTATTTAGCTAATAGAGTACTTTAAACCTATTAGAATCAAGACCTTAACCTATAAACATTTATGCTACACTGTCTAGTAAAAAAGCGTACAAATTCTAAAAGAATACAGATTACAAATTAATATTTTAGGTAACAATGGAAATCCTACAAAAACCCTCACCCTTAATAAACATTACTAAATGCACAGCAAAATTCTGAATGGGATGCATGTCATTGGTGAACTTAAACATTTTTTTTCCTCTTTCCTCCATTTTTCAGATGAAAGTATTTAAAACAATCTGTTTGTAAGGAAATGACAAATTGTTTAGGTTAAACAGACAGATATAGTGTAAAGAACATGTAGGTATGTTTAAGAGTTTGGAAGGGTTAAGGTTAGACACCTAAGATGTAACTACACAAGTCTACATACCTACCTATGTGGATATAAACGCGTCCTGCTCCATCACACTCCAGTCATCTTCCACAGTACTACGGGATTAATTCTCTATAAATCATACACTTGACTGTGGCAGTTCCCCAGCATCTAAACAGCAACAGCACTCTGACTTCCGAATGTGGCTCTTCAAATGGAGTTCATGCATACAGTATTTCCTGACAACATTTGCCTTGAACCTACTCCAACTCATGCTACATTTTGTGCCAGAGCTACTTAATAATTTCTCATACAAATGTGAAATGTTCATGCTACTCTCCCTTTGCCTGGAATGTCTTTCTTCTCTAGTTCTGTTTCTTTCAAATGTCACCTCAATTATGAAGGCCTTTTTGATTTCTTTGGACAGAGGTAGGCATACTTACTTTGCTCCTTTACCACATACTGTAAAAACTTCTATTACAACAAATCTGACATGGTACAGCAATTTTTGTCCAATGGCCATGTTTCATACAATAAACAATAATTTGAGGGCTGGTTTCATGTTTTATTTTTGTACCCAGAGGATTCAGAATGGTTCTTGGCACACATCAAGCACTTAAATGCTTGCTGATTAATGGAAACAAGCAAACATACCTTTAGTGGTCTCACCCAAGCCAAAGAACAAGGGATAGCTTGAGCTGGGAGCTTTGCGTAGCAGCACCTATGATAATCAAATACATGAATATTTAATGACTTATTAAATCCCATTTTATGAAATTTCAAGTTCGTTTCTTGGTTCCTCATACCATTTCAGAATACAGTTGAACCTCAGTTCATGAACTTAATTTGTTCCACGATTTTAGAAAAGATGGCCACATTTCTGTTTGTGTGGGAAAGATGGCCACAGTGGTGTTTGTCACCCAATGGAGAATTTGCAAACAAAAACAAAATTTTGCCAAACACTTTTGTTTGTGAGCCAAATAGTTTACAAATAAAAGTGTTCATGAACAGAGTCATCATTCTATTTTATTTGTAAAATTTAAAATTAATGGTAGTACAAGCCTGTAATCCCAGCACTCTGAGAGGCTGAGGCAGGAGGATCGCTGTGAGTTCGAGACCAGCCTGGGCTACACAGTGAGTTCCAGGTCAGTCTCAACTACATAGTGAGACCCTGTCTCAAAAACACCAAAAAAGAAGAAAAAGAAAGCAGGGGAAGGTAGAGAAGGAAAGGCAAGAGAAAAGAGAAGAGTTCTAGCACTGTGACTTAATTTGTCCACTATTTTTTGTTAAATTCAACTCACTTCAGGAACCTCAGAGAGGACTTCTGCACAGTTCCAATATTTCCAAAGTCTGGGTAGAACACTTCAACTTCATTTTTCCCAAGGACCCGATGGATAACAACCCGATACCACCACTTATCCTCAGAAATCCTTACACAACAGAGATGTCCCGGTTGGATAAAATGTTCCGGCATGGTATAGCGATCAGAAACAAGCTGGTTAGAGTAACAGCGCCTGTGGATTCCAAAATACAGAGAAATCCATAGGGAAAGAAAAATTAAAGATCACTTTTATTAATTTATAAAGAACAGGAAAGCCTTAACAAAAAGCAAAGAAAAAAATTATCACTTTTTAAAACTTGTTGTTTATTAACATGAGTTCTTTTTTTTTTTTTTTTGTACCAGGAATCAAACTCAGGATTTTGTGCTAGCCAGAGAGGCATGACACCATTGAGCTACATTCCTTGGCCTGTGAACTTTCTTACATATTATTGGAATAAAGTATATTCCAACTTCTTTCCCCTGTACTTTCTAAAAGGGACATTTTTTAAAAACACAGGGCAAGGGATGTAGCTCCGAAGTAAAAAACTTACTTGCCTAGCATGTTCAAGGCTCTGAGTTCTATCCTGAGCACTAGGGAAAAAAATTATAAAAAATAATCGACTAGTTAATTCCCAAATTTAACAGACCCTCTCTTCTAAGCCTTCAGTATACTTGTTCTCTCTGTAGCATTACCTGATTTTTTTCAAAGTCTTTTTTATTTAAGTTTCTAAGACAAATTCTCTCTTACTTTTTCCTTGTCAATAATTACCCTTTAATGGGCTTAGCACCACCTTAAAAATTTGGGTTTCCTGGGGTCTCTAGGAAGTATAATAACATGTTTAAATATCACACTGTTTCTTTAGTGAGAAACTGGAAGCATAAATAAGGACCAAAATGTGTAATAGATATTGGGAAATGGGGAGCAACTGTTTAAATGGAAAGGGGAAAGGAGGAAGAGATTAAAAAAAAGAACAGAAGGAAAAAATGAAACAAAGCCTTTGTAAATAAAGAGGGAAAAGGGATCAAAGGGAGGGGTGGGAGAGGGGAAAAAAGAAGTAAGATATATCATGTACAGGTACAAATTCTCTATTATGAATGTTGTCATTATGTGTATCTAAAATGTACCAATAAAAATTAAAAATAAGAGAAAAAAAAAGGAAGTACCACAGGTTCAAGTCCTGACTCCATAATTTATGAGCTGAGTAACTATCTCTGTGATTCAGTTTCATTATTGAGGATGAGGATAATAATTTTTAAATTTTTGGTCAAAATAATGTGAAAGTTTAGGACAGTGACCAAACATAGTTAAGAAATCAAATAGTAGTTACTAATTATAATTTTTATGGGTACACCATCTCATCCATTTTCATATCTTATATACCACTACTGATAAAACTGGTGGCTCTTTCTAGAAGGCCTTACGTTCTAACATTCAAAACACATTCTAACTGGATGGAAGACATGCTGGTTATTCCTAGTATCCATTCTCTTTTCTTTTTTTCCTTAGTAATAACATATCCATATTATAACTGCATATATGGCCATTCAGATTTCCCAGGATTTAGGTGTGACTTTGTGAAAAGAAAGTTCTAGCCAACAGGATGTAAGAAAAAATTACAAAGGACAGAAAATTATTGTGTATTTTTAAAAAGTGATGTGTGAGAATTTCAGGTTGTGTCTTTCAAGCTAAAAGCATGCCCCATACATTAACCTTCTCTTTCCCCTTCCAAGTGGGAAGGAGGAGCCAGTGGATGTATGGTGAGCCATTTCCAGAACTGTGTGGATGGGGCAACATCATTAAGATCTGGAGCAGTAAGATAGAAAATATCTGTGTCCTTAACATCATGAAGCTATTATATCAGCCTGTATTACCTTACTGGGACTATTAGGGAAGAGATAAACTTTATTTTCTTTATGATATGTCTTTGTAACTGTGGCTAAATCTATTCCTAATTAATATTGACAGTTCATCATTGCCAAGTGATTGTATCATGCTCACCTAAAAGACAATGTGTGTAAATTTTTAACTTTTCTCACCCCAGATCAAACTTAATCTCTAAATCCAATAGTTTTCACATTTTTTGTCTTACCTTTATTCTTGACAATGCTATTCTTGTCGCCTGACAATTTTACTTTCTTAATTTATCTCCAGTATTGATCTTTTTCACCTCATCCATTTTCTATACTGCAACTGTGTTATTCTTCTAAAAAAAAAGGCTGTTGGATGTCTTTCCTAAAACCTTTAGTGGCTCCTTGCTGTCTACAGAGTAAGTCAGAACTCCTTCCCACGGTGGCCACAATATAGCTCTTCCCTACCTCACTAGTGCCAGCTCCACTCCTCTGTGGGCTGCTCTCAATGCACCCCACTCATTCCTTTGTTAATGCTGGACTTAATGCAGTGGCTACTGGATTCAAATATAGCTGCTCATACCTCAAATGTCAAACTTTTTACTTATTTTTGAATCCTAACTAAAATACCTTTGTAATACTTTCCTTAATCTTACCCAGGCAAACTACTGCCTTCTACAACATTCTACACACATATCCCCGAACCATCTTCCCAGCCAATCATAGTGTTGTTCAGAAAAGCAGACTCATCTTTATAGTAATAGAGCTTCAACATCCCAACACTAATTAATACTTTTAACTGCTTGCTGTTGATAAGAAAAATGGAAGGTCTCATAAATCACTTCCCAAGTTATCTCACAGAACACTTGAGCACTTGTTTGAGTTATGTGTGTGTGAAGGGCAAGGGAACATGATTTTTTACTTGGAAGCTGAAATAATTACATTATAGGACACCTTTTGCGCTTTAAAAAACACCAACAAACTATGTGTTAGGGTTTATATCTAAAATGTAACCCTAGAGTATCAAATACACTCAGAGATGGGACTTGGTCAGAAGAGGTAAGTTACAGAGGTTCTAACCTGGAAAGATGCATTCTTATCCCAGCTTCAACCTTTTCCCTCTGCTTCCTGGCTGCTATGGGATGAACAGCTGTCCTCTGGCAGGCCCTTCCACCATGCTATTTCTGCTCTGGAGCCAGCCAACTTTGGACTCAACCCACTGGAAATAGTGAATCAAATAAATCTCTGCTTCTTACATTGTTGGTGTATTTTGTCCCAGGGATGGGAAATTAACTAATACAGAAAATTGTTACCAACAGTTGGGTTGTTGTTACGACTGACCATGTGATTCAGAAGCCTTAAAATTGGTTCAAGGGAGAGTTTGGAAAGATTTGGAGATGCCAGCAGAGAGTCTTTAAAATGCTGTAAATAGAGATTGGGGAGAGACTGAGGTCAGAGCTCAGAAGACCAGAATTCTAACAGGAAGATAAACAGTAAAGTCCAGACTCAGGAGGTTTCAGTTGGGTTCAAGGACTCCACAGCAGTTGGACTGGAGGTCATGTGTGCTATACCCTGGTAGAAAATTTGTCTTCATTTTGCCAATGTCCTGAGGCTCAACCCATTTTGCAGGAGACTGAGACTGCAGGTGGTAGCCTAAGCCTGACATTCAGTCCATGGCATGAGTACTGCTAGCTGCTTCTATTTAGATTTATAATGAGGATTAGGAACAAATGCTAAAGCCAAGAGATATGAAAAGTTTAATTTTACCATGAGTGAAACACCTACAAAGTTGGGACCACTGGGAGCAAAGATGCTGAAACTAGCTTTAAAAGAAGCAAAGTACGTTGCATCAGGACAGGACAACAGGAAAGACAGCTTGAAAGCCTCTCAGAAATCAACAAGATACAACCCATTACAGTTCAAAGATTATAAAACTTTTGAGAAGACTGCCACTGATCCCCTGCTTAAAAAGGGACACCAAGAGAACTGATTCCTCAGGATTCATTTCACCATGCTGAGCTATACAGGTACTCAGAAGCCAATGTATTCAGGGTTCAGGGGTAGGGGGATCTAGCTACTGCTCAGTATGGCAGCAGACCTTGGCATCATCCAAGTGGTGCTGGTTTTTCAGGCACAGATAATCCAGGAGCCATGGGGTCACAGAGGGTTCAGAAGAGGGCCTGAGAGGCCAGGTACTGTGCCCCTAAGAGGGTAGTGCATAAAGCTATGAGAGTGAAGCAGAAGGAGCATTGGAGAATCCAGCTATGTGGAACGTCTGTTGAGGAAAATTAGAAGCAGAGAATGAAGCCAGCCTAAGAGAGAGGCCATGTGGTCCATAACCAGCAAGACCACAGGGGCAGGGCTGCTCAAGTCCTCTGGAGTTCACCCACAACCTGCACTAGCTGGACATGGAGCTAAAGAATCAGTGTTTGCCCCTGCTGGGTTCTGGTTTTGCCTTGGTCCCATTCTTTTCTATCCCATTATTTCTCTTGTAAATGGGAATGTTTACCCTGTGCCAATGTGTGCTGAAAATATTTAAGTTTCTTTTTTATTTTTACAAGGGCTGATAGCTAAGAGTTTGCCTATCTAAGTTTCTTTTTTTTTTTATTTTTACAAAGGTTGATAGCTAAGAGTTTGCCTTGAGTCTCAGAGAAGACTCTGAACTTGAGACTTTCAGCAATATCAGAATTGTTAAAAGTTTGGCAACTCTTAGACTAAATGCATTTTGCATAAGATGACATGAGACTTTGGGGGGCAGGAGTAGAATATTATAGCTTAGATCTAAAATGTCCCCTAAATTCTCAAGTGTTTGGAAGTGGGGTCTGACCTAAAAGGATGTATTCTTAACCTCAAATCCAACCTTCTCTGCTTCCTGGCTGCCATGGGATGAACAGCTGTTCTTTGCCATGCCCTTTCATCAAGCTGTTTCTCCCTTGGAGCCAAACAACTTTTGAGCTGAAATCACTGGAAACTGAGCCAATTTAAACCTCTCTTCCTTTAAGTTGTAAGTGTTGGATATTGTGTCCCAGTGATGGGAAAATGACTGATATACTAATGACAATTCAGACTTAGGTATTTGACATATCTCTTCCCTCAAATTAAGTGAGTCTTCACTTCAAGGTAAGTGACTAACAATGTATGTTGTCAATGACAAAATTCAAACCTCCAAATAAAAGTTAGGATTTTGGAAATGTTATACTCACCACTGTGAGCTCAACAGCTTCCCAAAAGTTAACATTTTTCTGATGACATCAGTAGTGATATTCGTGATTTTTTAAATATATTTTTAAAATACTATGTAGTGAAACATGTCAACATTTGGAAGATCTGCAACTTAGTGGACTAGCATTTTACAAATTACCAATAAAAAATGTTGTAAAAGGGTAAAAGATGCACTACAGGCTGGTCCACCAAAGTCCATGGTTAGAAGAGCCCTATGCTTGCTTTAATAGTTCTACATTTGCTATCCTGACATTGTTAATTCTTAAACAAGGAACTCTGCATTTTAGTTTTGTTCTGGAGCCTAGAATTACATAGCTAGTCCTGGAGCCAGTCAAAACACAAAAGTAGGTCAATCAACTTTAACAGAGTGTATGAAAAAATTCAAATTCAACATTGCAACTTATCTTAAACTATGTCAGGTTTTAATGTATCAAGAAATAACATTCATGATTGTCTGAAAAGACTATTAAAACACTTCTTGCCCAACTACATAACTGTGTGAAGCTAGAAATTTCATATACTTCAATCAAAACCACACATAGTAGATACCCTAATCAATGCTGATTAGAATAAGATACATGAAAAAATAAGACTCCTACCGCATTTCAATCATCATGTCTTCCAGTAACTCTGATGAATCTCTGCTATAGATTCGGATGTAGAATTGACTAGGAGAGATAATGTACTCCACGAAGACCCCCACAAGGGTACTTGTATCTAATGGTGGAAGTCTGCATAATTTCTTTTCTTGTACAGCATCTGGTGGGATATCGTGATTTGCCACTGACAAGTTGATGTGTGGTTTGTTTATTTCTAGTTCCTACAAATTTTTTTTTAAAAAAGAAAAAAATGAAACCATAATATGTCTTTGGGTGACATTTCAAACCCTAAAGTAATATTTCTCAAAGTATATTTCATGAATCACTCTAATCAGAATTACTTGGAAATTAAAAATGCAAATCCTTGGGCTCAAGCCAGGTTTATTGATTCATAATACTTGAAAATGGTGCTTGGGCTGGGGATTTAGCTCAGTGGTTCTGCTGCTTTGCAAGTGCAAGGTCTTGAGTTTGATCCCCAGTACACAAACAAACAAACAAAGAAAAACAACAAAAAAAGAAAATGGTGCTCACAGTTAAGCATTTAAAAAAATTCCCCAGGTGATTTTTACTTGCATTAAAATATGAAAATTTAGCTTTATGCTATTAGGCAAATAATTACCAAGTATTATGAAAATACTCCATATAAACCTGACAATATGGTACTTCAAATATTTAGGTTGAACTAAGGAGGATTCATATCCCATCCAATCCTACCACTTGTGAAAGATAACTTTAAGGAGTGCATTAAATTTCGACTAGCCTTCCAATCAAAGATAGGAAATATAGGCTTTCATACTGTCTTCCAGAATAAATAGCAGACTCTCAAGATATTTTGATTCCATGAAAGAAGCCAGGAACAGAGAGTACAGTGAAGAAGTGTACATCTAATTCCTTAGTAATAAAATAAGTAATGGAAATGAGAATACAAAAAGGGAGAATCATATGTGATGAAGGAGAAAAAAATAAAAGCAATGAACAACTGAGACTGGGGGCAAAGGTAACATGCACGAGTTGAGGAACATACCCAGAAGAGAGCCCCCTATTCCCTCCTCTAAGGTCCTGAGGGGTTTTCCAGCTTAAACTTTGAAACACAGAAACAGAGACTCAACAATATCATCATGAGAGCACTGTCAAGTCTGAAAACCAACTAAAAACTTTAAAAACAAGACTTGAGGACAAGCTAGGTATATGAAAGACTGAAAACTAGAAGAAACACTACATGAGGTGACTTTGGACTAAACAAATTGGGCTCTACCAAGAAATAATATATCTAGAAACAAAAATTCTCTAAAAAGAACTTTGCATTAAAAAACCATTCATTCAGTAAAGACTTTACCACCAGTTTAGGCTCCTTACAAATCTTCGGTTCTGGATCTTTATGTTTTTTCAAAGAGCAATCCCACATAGTCTCCTTAATAGCAGCAGTAGACGGTGAATTTCTAGGACTGGAGACATAAGCTTTGGGTTCTATTTTCTTATTTGATTGAACAAAACACGAATTTCTGATTGATGAAGCATCTCCATCTAAAATGGCCAATAAATATTTGCATATTTGTTACAACAGCGATACAACTATCACTAAGTACCTTCTGTGTAACAGGCACTGGGAGGGACAACGGTAAATGAGACATACTTACCTGACCTTGCAGATCTTTCAGTGTGGTGACATGTAAGGGAAGTTCTACATGAGAACAAATCCTAAAGAGGAAAGGGAAGCTTGCAGCATGGTAAGGTTTCTTAAACTCTGATGGCTTTTTGAACATCTTGATTACAATGTATTTCTTCTTCTAATTAAACAGTTAACACTCATTATCACTTAATATAAATGTGTGCAATTACTTAAAATTCCATAATATAAAGCTTTAATTCTTAGAGAATTCCCAAACCAATCACCTATTTTTTTCAAATTTACATATGTATGATGACTACACGAGGCTGGCACATTAAAACAGACTCCAATGGCTCCTAAAAAAATAAACTCATGTGCATTATTTATCACACGTCTGGGGATATAACTTAGTGGCAGAATGCTAGCCTAGTATATATGTGGCCTGGGTTTTGATCCCCAGCACTGCAAAATCTAAATAAATATTTAAGAATTTGTCACTATACTTTTTATAATAGTAAAAATGGAAACAATCTAAATGACCATTAACAGGAGACTGATTAAATGAATTCTCATAGAGCTACATTAAAGAATTATAGTTAAAATTTTTATAAATTCATACACTAATAGGAAAAACACTATATGAAATACACAAAGGACTTACACAATATTAATATATTTATTTGTATAACAATTATACATATAATTAACTATATTATATAGAGCAAATCTCAAAATATATACACTATAACTATTAGCATTAGTTATATTGATAGAATAGTTTAAACAAGCTTTTGTGATTCAGAAAAACATAGCAATGCTTACACATACATTTAATAACATCTGGAAAGCTCTATGAAAATTCTAACTGTATTATTTCTGGGACATTATGTAAAATGATGGGAAACATTCATTCACTTTCTACTTACTACTCATCAATGCTATCTGTATATTTTAAAGTGAGAATGAGTCAAGTAGTATAGAAGCTTATAAAAATACAAGTACCATATTTTTCTATAGTTCTGAAAAATATTACCTATTGAGGAATTTTAGTAAAGGGTACAAAACTTTTCTGTATTATTTCTTACAACTGCATAATACAGATATGTTTAATAACCCCCAAAAAACCTAAGCAAAAAGAAACTGAAAATGAAAAATCAAGTACCCTAAATGCAACCTGCCATAACAGAAAAAGGACATTTTTTGGGAAAGGGGGTAAAATAAGGATAAAATTTAGTTAGCAGCAATATATAAATAATAATTTCTTAGTGGAAGAGATGAATATGGTTTTGTTTTGAAAAATACATTATGGTAATGTAAGATGTTGATACTGGGGGAACTGAATGAAAGGTATACTGGAACTCTGTACTAACTTTGCAACTTTCCCAAAACCTAAAGTTACCCAGAAATAAAATTCTTATTCAAGACACAATTGTGGGGCTGCCAGAGATTTAGCTCAGTGGTGCTGCCGCCTGCCTCACAAGCACAAAGACCTGAGATTGAACCCTGGTACCCCCCAAAAAATTGTGGGGTCCTATAAATGTGACACATCCATTTATTTTCCATATATGTCAATATCCATATATTTTAATATATTTCTAAAAAGCTTTTTGATGTATAGGCAGAGCTAAAAGCTACTGAACTATCAGCCCAGTATTTTGAGAAAATTTTCTTCACAATTATTTAAAAACTTGGACAATATTTCAGGTGATTTTATTTATAATACAAGTTAACTTTATTATAATAAATCCCTCCAGAAAGGAGGTCATTATATACAAAACATTTCATGGCTAAGAAGTGATGCTTTTGGTTGATGTGGCTGTAACAAAGACTTTTACCTAAACAATGCTTTTCCCCTGTTCTTATAAAAGGACAATTAAAAGTGATGTGGGCCCAACTCACCAGGTAGTACGGCCTTCATATCAGCAACAAACACTAACAAGTCTTGTTCTCCTTCCCTAAACTCAACACGAAGAATGTCACTTAGAGCTCCAACAAGTTCTGTCACATTTAAGAAGCCCAAGTTCTTTGGTGAAAGTTGCTCTTTAAAAATTGCCTGTCACAAAAAACCAGAAATTGCATGAAAACAACAGTAGATAACACAAACATAAAGTATGCAGATATCCTCAGACAATGCTTTAATTTGGATTCTGCCAAACTGAATTTGTAAGAGTCAATACACTCAAGTGCAAAGTTTTAGTTGCTTTGAGAGTTTTAGTTGCTTTGAGAAGACTGAAGTGAAAGTAAGGGGACCTTTTTACTTAGTAATAATTAGAAAGTAAAAGAGTCTTCAAAAGAAGGGGTGCAAAAAAATACAAAATCACAAGATAAAACTACTGTTATTTCTACAGATGTAGAGAATGGAAATATTCACTATCATTTAAAATATGCAGAATGGTATTACTATTTAAGAACTTAAATTTTATTATTTCATCTTAGAAGTTGGTATAAATAGGCAAACAGCCACCTGTGTACTTCTTGTAGTATATGGTTTGGTTTTCATGTGTTGGTAAAGTCATACCAAATAAAGATAGAACATATAAGACAGACGCTATGTATATTTTGGATTAAACTGCACAGAGAAGTAGTAGGTTTACCCTTGTCAAAAAGAGCTGCTATTACACATGCTCAAATTCTTAATTCAACATTTGTCTCCTGAACTGAGAGAGAGCAACTGTGCTAATAATAATTATTGGTCTCTTCCTCTGTCTAGGTGAGTGATGGTGAGCTTCTGGCACATGTGTTATTTTTCTTTTAAGACAAAAGATGTTAATGTATGAGTTGATTTTTCTAAACTAAAACCTCAGTATTCAAGTTTAATTGCACTGGTAGCACTTTGTGATAAGTGGGGTTTGGGTTGCAGTTTGCATGCTCATCTCTAGAAAATATGCCATCACTGGTCTAGGTTTTAGTAGGAAATGAAGTCTTGCTTCTGACTTAAGTGTCTTCCTTGGGGAAGATAAATATGAACACAGAAGGCAAACACTATAAAAGGACTGGGCCTTGAATGAGGATGGTGCAGCTCCAGTACTTATGTGAGGCTCTCAGACCCAACTGAACACTTGAAAAAGTAGGAGCTCAGAATCTATCACATCATAGTTCATGAATGCCTTTACCCATGAACATCCCAAGAGAAAAAGAAGTGGTATAAGAGAGGGAAGGGGTGGAGGAAAATGAAAGCTACTACTTACTACTTTATACATTGCATATTCAGGTTTCCTTTTATGTTCGTTGGTCACTACTGGTCTCTTACCCTCTTTATTTCTAATATTATGAAAATGCAATTCAAGTGAACACAATACTGGGTTGGAATTTTTTTAAATTATGTTACTATGTTTTTGAAAAGGTAACATTCAAAAGGCTAAAAAAGTATGTAGCAAAACAGTCTTGGGCCAGGGATTTAGCTCAGTGGTTCGGTGGCCTGCCTTGCAAGCGCAAGGACCCGAGTTCAACCCCCGGTACCAAAAAAAAAAGTCTTCAGTCCCCTCCATTCTTCAGAAATCATTTCCTTTGAAGTAAATATAATTACCAACTTTTTGTACAACTTCTCAGAAATTGTCAAAATTTGAACATGCTTTAATATTATAGACATTGTACACATTTTTTATTCAGTTAATATAGAGATGTCATATTAGTACATGAAACACAGTTGCATTTTGCTTCACGAGCCTGAGAATCAAGTTTCTTTTAATAGTTGAGTCAATTCATTGATATATCAGATGTTTTGTCTTCCTTTTTTATGCTTTCTGCTTTGACTCAGAACTATGAGCAATGAAGACAATGATTTCTGCTCTTACTCTCCTTACTTCCCTTCTATCCCCAGTCTAATTTTAGTTATATTATTTTTTATAGTTTAGATTTATACCTTCAAATATTTGTATACATCCTAAACATGTTTTTGTTTCCCAACTATCTGAATTTTGCAGATCACAAACTTATAGTGTAAATACTATTTCCTATATATTGAACCCTTTCACAAGACAGTGATACTATGTTCTTTTTTTAAAAAGACACGATGTTTGGTTGTTTCTTTTGGGGTTGGTAGGAGGCACTATTACTGGTCAACGCCTAGATTCATTATTTTGTTTAGGGCTTTAATTGCTATTCTATCAATTCTTTGTTAGAATATTTTTTATGGAGGTATGCTTACCTTCATTTGCTATTGGTTATCCAGTCATATCAGTTCATATAGAAAACCAATTATCTTCCATGTTGACTCATTTTTAAATATCATATGAACTCATAAAATTAAATGTATTTGGTGAGTTTTAAGCCACTGCACTTGTAATTCTTATTAAAACCTGAAACAACTCTTCAAGTATATTCCTAAGCTCTTTTGATGTAAACCTTAGTCTTTGAAGTTTCTTTGCTGGTCTGGTATGACAAGATGCTCCGGGCTTAATTTATGCAATTAGAATATCCTTATTCATACTATTAGTACTATTCCATAATTACTCATTTTCATTATACTACATTATATAACAATGGTCTCCAAATAAAAATAGTAATTTTATCACCATATAATTGATAAAAATAAACTTTGTATGTGCTCACCCCTCCATTTACCACTTTGTATAATGTATTTTGATAAACAAAATCCTTATCTTCTGGACTTATACATTCAGATTTTACACTTTAGCTTGCCTCAGTTCAATACACTGTGCCTTTTAATTTGGCCACTTCATCTAAATTGTCACAGTTGTTTGTAATATTCCTTTATTGCCCTTTTACTATATGTAGAATCTATAATGACATGTCCTTCCCTGATATTGGTCATTTGTATCCTCTTTTTTAACTTGTGGTTTATCTATTGTTTTTTTTTTAATTGAGTTTATTGGCACAATCTAGGTCTACAATACAGTTACATTCATCATTGGGATTCTGTACCTACATAATAGGTCTTGATTCTCATTTTTTCCCCTTGTCCCTTCCCTCCCTTCACCCCATTTACAAACACTTTATTTCCATTTTTTTCAGTTTCTCATATTTTTTCCTCTCCCTTATTACCTTTCCCCCACCCTTCCCACTTTCCCTACACCTTTAGCCCTTTACTTCCTGTTTCACATTATTAATTGTCTCATTAGGATCCTGTGTACTATTATAGTTTTTCACACCAAAGAAAATAATGAAAAAAAGAGTAAGATAAGACTATAAGAGCAAGAACCAATTTAAATATGTTCGGGGACCATTTTCATCCCCAGAATTAAGGATTATTTTAATGTTACATCATTGCCTTTACTCTTTTACTTTCCTTTTTAGTTTTATTTTAGGATTCCCTATTTTTAATGTTCATACAGAGATTTCTTTAACTGAAATACCGAATAGTTTCTTTGGTGTGAAAATCTATTGGTTTTTTACATTTCATTTGATTTTATAAATTTTCTCGATTGACCCTATTTTATTTTTATTTTTAGCTTTAGCACTTCCTTTTTCCCATGTTTACCTTTCTTTTTTTAGCCTTTTAGAATAGATCCTTAATTCAATGACTTCATATTCTTTTCTAATAAGCATTTTAAAGCTATAATTATGTCTAAGCACTGCTTTAGTTACATCAAAATCTGAAAGATGCATTTTCAATATTTTTCAACTGAAAATATCTTCAAGTTTCCTTTGTAATTTCTTCTCTAATAATTATTTAGAAGAGTGATTAGTTTCCAAGTATCTGTAGGGTCCTGTGTAACTTAGTGCCTTAATTTGTAACAATTCCATCCTAACTAGAGAATATAACTAAAATCTCAGTATTCTGAAACTTGTTCAGATATATTTTATAGTAAACTATAATCTATCTTGGCAAATGTTCCATGTGAAAATGAATATATATTCTTCAGGTGTTGGGTACAATTTTATAAAAGTTAAATAGATCAAGATAGTAGACAGTATTATCAAGATATCCTGTTTATTCATTTTTAAAACCATTTTATAATTGCTAAAGGTATTAAAATCTCTATTTTTGTGAAATTCTTAATTTGGTCTAATTTTAGAGTATTTTAAAGCACTGATACTGGGTGAACAAACATTTATGACTTTTGTTTTCCTAAAGCATTAATCCTTTTATCCTTATGAAATACTCCCTGATCTGACAACACATTTTGTTTGAGTCTGTTTTATCTGATGTCTTTAGCTATTTCAGTTCTTTTATGCTATTTCTTACATGGCATATCTTCATCTTTTACGAGGCAGACATGGTGCGACTGAGCTAAATCCCTAGCCCAATTCTTCATCTTTTACTTTAAACCATCTTCCTTCATATTTATATGTGCTTCTTGCAGGTAGCATAGTCAGTTGCACCTTGTTTTTCATCCATGTCATGGCTTCTGTCACTTAAATGTAGTCTTTAGTTCACTTACATTTATGAAATTAGTACTTTAAAGTTAAAACATTTAATTTCTATTAATCCTGCCTATATTTTGTTTCTCTGTTCCTTTCCTGCCTTCTTTTGAATTTTCTTCATATTTTTATATAATTTCTTTTAATTTATCTATTAGTTTTACAGGTATAATTCTGCATTTTAATGTTGTTCTGGGCATTACAATATACCACCTTAACTTCTTTCTCTTACTGTACCAGTTCACATAAAATACAAGAATTTCACAACCCTAAAGCTCCCTATATAGTTCCTTTCCACTAGTTATACCATAGTTTCATATGTATTATACATCTTCAAGTTATTATTAAGCCCAATTAACACCATTTTTGCTTTAAATAGTCATATATTTTTATTGATGAAAGAAAGCAATCTTTTCGATATACCATATCTTTTGTCTTAAATCCAAAAATTCAAGTTCCAAACTACATCATTTCTTTTGGCATGAAGTTCATTACATTATATAGCATTTCTTTCAGTGCAGATCTGTCTACAATTCTAGTTTTGCTGCTGTTGTTTTTTGGTAGCAGGGATTGAATTCAGGACCTTGTGCTTGCGAGGCAGTCAGTGGAACTACTGTGCTAAATGCCAGCCCCTACCATTCTAGTTCTGATTATCTGAAAAATGTATTTTACCTTCATTTTTGCTATTATCACTGCAAAATAACCCAAGAATGTGTGTGAGATATTCCACTTTTCCACATCCCGAGTGACACTTGGTATTGCCAGACATTAAAAATAAATCAATCTTTATTAATTTATAATAATGAGCTGTGAATTTAGCTCAGTGGCACCACACATGCCTCGCAAGCACAAGCACCCCCCGCAAAATCATTCCAATGATGTTATTACAGACAAGATTGGGCACGTTCAGGGTGGTATGGCCGTAGACCCAATAATGTTATTACAAATGGCAAAAACATCCCTCCTATGTATTATCAAGTATTTTTATGAGCCATAGCCTTAACAGTTGTAACAAAGAAAGAAACTAAAATGCAAAACAAGATGTTTAAATGTTAAAAAATATAGCCTTGGAGAGATCAAGGAGCAGCAACAAAATTTCTATGGTAAGAAAGGTAAGTCATAAAAGACATTAGGGTTTGTGAAAAAGAAAGAGCTTACCTCAAACTCTCCAAGCAGTTTAGAAATAAACAAACCCTCTGGAAACTTAGATACAACCTAATAAAAAATGAAATACAATATCGATACAATTGAATTATGAGATAAAATATTTAAAACAAGACAGTATAAAATCAGTAGTATCAAAGGCAAAAATATTATTGAACAGATTATTTTTATCTTATACATTAAAAAATCATTTTCTGGCTTAACCTTTCTAACACGAAGATGGTAACTTCTATCACTTCCAGAGTTAAGAAATCGTTATTATACAACATTGTAATGATACAACTCTCCAGAAAATGCTATTTAGCTTTAGATCACATAAAATATTCTACAATTTTACTTATTTCAATTGATAAAATACAATGGACACTATAAAAATTTCAGAAAATGCAGTTAAACTTAGTTAAAATGCCTATATTTAATATAAAAAAGGTTAATAGTTCTGCAATCATTTTTAAAAATTAATTTTATTGGTATATTTAAGGTATACAATATGACATCCATCATTGGAAATTAGCACCTTTACATAAACCATCTGGGTTCTTAATTTTCCCCCTTCCCCTGCCCTCCCTTCAACCCCTCCAATCCTACCTATCCACAAAGACTTTGTTTCCATTTTTTCTATTCCTTATATTAATTCCATTCCCTTCTTTCTTTTCCCCAACCCCTCCCACTTCCTCTTCCTATCTGCACCTTTTCTTCCTATTTTACATTATCTATTATACCTTTTAGTCCTTATTTACACTTTGTTTCTCACACTAGAGGAACTATTTGGTATTTACGCGTATGTGTCCTATTTCATTTAAGAGTATGGCCTCAATGTGCATCCACTTAGCTATAAATGTCTTTAGTTTCTCATTCTTTATGGCTGAGAAGTACTCTATTTTATTTTTTTAAAAAACCACATTTTCTTTAAGTCTCCCACTGATGGGCAATTGGGTTGCCTCCAAATTTTAGCTATTAGAAACTGTGCTGCTATGAACACGGATGCACATATATCACTGTGGTATGATTCTTTAAATTCTTAAAGGAATACACCCAGCATAGGGATAGTTGGGTCCAATTGGGACCTCCAATCCCAGTTCTTTGTGCTATCTCCATACTGATTTTCACAATGGTTGCACCAGTCTACACTCCTACCAGCAGGGGAGCAGTGTTCCTCTTTCTCCATGGCAACATCAGCATTTGTTATTGGTTGATTTCATGACAGCAGCCATTCCTTCTGTGGTGAAGTGGAATCTCAGTGTTGTTTTCATTTGCATTTCTTGAATGACCAGTGAAATTGAACATTTTTTCATGTTTGTTTGTTTTTTGGGGTTTTTTTTTTTTTTTTGCTATTTCTACTTCTTTTTCTAAGAAATGTCCATTCATTTCAGATGCCCATTTTTGGATTGAGTCTTTAAATTTGGGAGGTATGATTTTAAAAAGTTCTTTTTATATCCTAGATAGTAGACCTCTGTCTAAGGAACAGATGGTAAAAATTTTTCCCATACTGTGGGTTGTATCTTCATGATACTGGTCATTTCTCTTGTAGTGCAGAAGCTTTTCAATAAGAAGACATCTCACTTGTTGATTGTTTGTGCTAGTTCATGGGCAACTTAAGTTTTGTTCATCATATCTTTTCATATGACAATGTTTTCTGAGTTCTTTCTCTCATCCAGCTGATTTAGTGTCTGTTTTAATATTTAGATCTTTAATCCATTTTGATTTTAGTTTAGTGTATGGTGAGAGATACAGGTCTAGTTTTCATCTTTGGCAAGTTGAAACCAAATTTTTCCAGCACCATTTGTTAAAGAGGCTATCGTCCCTGCAATGAATTTGGTTATTAAGTCTAGAAAACTTTTGGTGGAGTTCTTGGGGTCTTCTATATAAAGTATCATGTCATCTACAAATAATGACAATTTGACTTCATTCCCTATCTTTATTCCTTTTATTTCTCTTGTCTAACTGCTGTGTCTGTTTCTAAAACTATATTGAACAGGAGTGGTGATAGTGGGCATCCTTGTCTTGTTCCTGATTTTAATGTGAAGAATTTCAGATTTTTACCATTTAGCATGATACTGGCTGTTGGTTTTTCATAGATGGCTTTTGTCGGATTGAGGTAAAGACCATCTATTCCAGTATTTCGGAGGGTTTTTATCATAAATGAATGTTGGATTTTGTAGGACACCTTTTCTGCATCTATTGAGATGTTCATGTGGTTTTTATCCTTGTCTCTATTAATATAGTGTATTACATTTATTGATTTGTATATATTGAACCATCCCTACATCCCTGGGATGAATCCCACTTGGTCAGGGCATATGATCTTCTGCATTCTATTTGCCAGTATCTCATTAAGGATTTTGCATCTAGGTTCACTGGTGAGATTGGCCTATCATTCTTTTTCAGTGGGGTCTTTCTTTGCTTTGGGGATCAAGGTGATGCTTTCTTCCAGGAATGAATTCAGGAGTATTGCTTCCTTTTCAATTTCATTGAAGAGTTTAAACAGTAGTGGCAGTAGTTCCTCTTTAAATGTCTTGTTGAATTCAGCAGTGAAGCCAACAGGACCTGGGCTTTTCTTTACTGGTAAAAATTTAATTACATTTCCAACTTCACTGATTGATATTGAGTCATTTAGAATTTTTAGGTCTTCTTGTTCAACTTTGGAAATTCATATGTAGCTAGGAATCTGTCCATTTCTTCTGTATTTTCCATTTTATTGGAGTATAAGTTCCCAAAGTAGGTACTGATAATTCTTTGGATTTCTGCTGGGTTTGTTGTAATTTCACCCTTTTCGTCCCTAATTGCATGGATGTGGGCCTTTTCTTTCCTTTTTTTTTTTTTTTTTTTTTTTTTTTTTTTTTTTGTTTTTTGGTACCAGGGATTGAACTCAGGTCTTTGCGCTTGCAAGGCAGGCCACCAAACCGTCCCCGGCCCTCTTTCCTTTTTTTGATAAGGTTGGCTGAGGGTTTGTCAATTTTGTTTATTCTTTTGAAGAATAAACAAAGGAAGAAAAAAGAAAAAAATAAAAAGAAAGCCAACTCTTGGTTTTGTTGATTTTTTTGAATCATTCTCCATTGTATTAGTCTCCATTGCATTGATTTCTGCCCTGATCTTTATAATTTCCTCCCTTGTATGAGCTTTGGGTTTGTCCTGCTCTTCTTTTTCTAGAAGCTTGAGCTTCAGTATCAGTTAATTGAGCTCGCTTTGTTTTCCTACTATGAGTATTCACTGCTATGAATTTCCCTCATAAGACTGCTTTCACTGTGTCCCATAGATTCTGATATGTTGTACTGTCATTGTCATTTAATTGTAGGAACTGTCTGACTTCTTTAATTTCCTCTGTGATCCATTGGTTATTCAGAAGTGTTTTTCAATTTCCATGCGTTTATGAAATTTCTGCAGTTTCTTTTGCTATTCATCTCCAATTGCATTGCACTATAGTCTGATAATACATAGGGGATAATTTTAATTCCTTTGCACTTAAACATGTTCTATGAGTATGTGGTCTATTTTGGAGAATACACGTGTGGCTGAAAAGATTGTGTATTCTGATTTTGTGGGATGCAACACTCTGTAAACATGTTAAGTTTCACTTGTTCAACAGTTTGAGTTCTACTATTTGTTTTTTTGTCTGGTTGATCTATTTGTGACAGTGGGGTATTGAAATTCTTCACTACTATTGTATTAGTTCTTACATATGCCTGTATTTGTTTTATATAGTTTGACACACTAGTGTCTGGTACATATATATTAATGATTGTCATCTGTTTCTCTTGGATTGTTTCCTGTACAAGGATGTAGTGTCTTTGTTGTTCTTAATCAGTGTGGGTTTCAAATTCACTTGATCCTGCTTTTTTGGGGTTCCTGTCTCATGGAGTATTGTTTCCACCCTTTAACTTTCAGTCTATATTTCTTTTTGAATTAAGCGTGTTTCTTGTATGCAATATATTGTTGGATCTTGCTTCTTGACCCATTCTGTCAGTATATTTCTTTTGATTGGTGAATTGAGACCATTAACATTAATGCTTATAACTGATATGTATTGACTTATCCTTTTCATGACTTTTTTTCTTGGATTCTCCCCCTCTGCATTTAATTTCTTGTTGTGACTAATGGATTCATTCTGCTGGGCTTCCAGGGGTTGTCATCCTCATTGTCTTTTCCTAGGACACTGTTTAAAAATTTTTGGAGTGCTACTTTAGTATTCATGAAGTTTCTAAGGTGCTCTATGTCATTAAAGTATCTTATTTTTCCATCATTTATGAAAGATAGTTTTTCAGGGTGCATCAATCTGTGTTAGAGGTTATTTTCCTTTAGGGGTTGAAATATGTCACTCCATGCTCTTCTTGCCTTATGGGTTTGTGTTGAGAAGTCTGCTGTGATTCTGATGGGCCTTCCTTTTTATGTGATTTGTTTCTTTTCTATAACTGCTTGTAGAATTTTGTTCTTTTGTTGGGTTTCTGGTATCTTAACTAGTATATATGTCTAGGTGCAGATTACTTTTTATCACAGCCAGATGGAGTCCCGTATACCTCACTTATCTTTATGTCAAGTTCTTTTCCCCTATTTGGGAAGTTTTCTGCCATTACTTCTGTAAACAGTTTTTTATGTCATCTGCACTCTTCTCGTTTCTTCATTGAATCTGATCAGTCTTATGCTAGGCTTCTTTGTATTGTCTAGCAGCTGCTGGATTGATTTCTCATGGTCCCCTAGTACCCTTAAGAATTTTTTTCTTTTCCTGCTCATTAATTGTAATCCTACCTTCTATGTCTGAAATTCTGTCCTTGCATTGGCTTGTTCTGCTGCATAAACTTTCAATGAAGTTTTTAATTTCCTGGAAATCTGAAACTTTTATGGGTTCCATTTGTTTCTTATGTTTGGATTTCATCATGTTTTTTAGGTCCTGTTTTTTATCTCTGTCTGCTCTAGATTGATTAATCATGTCTTATACTATGGGCACAATCACTGCTGCTATATGAGAAATTATTTCTGATTTCATTTTTTCTAGATCCTCTTTTGTTGCTAGTTCAGGGAGTCCAGGTGGTTGAGTATCAGATTGTTTCATCTTGTTGCTCTAGGTGATCTCGAAGTCTGGTTTTGAGACTTACTTACATGTCTTCTCATTTCAACAGATGCAGCCTGCTGTGCCTTTGTTGAGGTGACTTTTTACTCACTCAGTAGTCTTTATTCTCATCAAGCCACCGAGCATCCTTTACTCTGCTCCTCTCCAGTACACCAATTCCTGGATTTAGAATAGTGGCCTTCTGGATCCCTGAGCTGACCTGTTGTCTGGGCAGGCTTCTGGCTGAGGCCTAAGCACACTTAAGATGGTATCTAGGTGTGCCTCTTGCTAGGGGCCCTACGTAGCTGTTGTCTGGGAGGGGCTTTGTCTGACGGCTGTGCACCTCAGTTTCTGTTGTCTGTGTAGGCTACTGGCTGGAGTCTCCACGCACTTCTCAATGGTACTAGGGTGAGCCACTGGCCTTTGTGTGTCTACTTAGTTCTTTTCCAGTTGTGCTCTTTGCTGTAGCCAGTGGTATGAAGCTTGTGTGCCTGTGCAACTCTTTTCTGGGTGGACCTTTGGCTTGGGCAGGTGACGCCAGGTCTCTGGGGTTGCGGTGGGTCCCTGGCTGGGATCTGCCTGCAGCTGCACTACTCTAATCCATACAGCTGCTCCCCAGGATCTGTGCATACCTAAAGATCCCATTTTTAAAAATATACTGTAGACATCTTTCCATGTCAGTAAATGTGAATAAATATTTTAAAGAACTAGACATTTTTCAAAATATTCAGTGTATGCAATGTATTTGATCATCTAGTTATGGTTATATCTTTTTATCCTCACAAACATTGCAATGATTATCCTTACATTTGCACTTCGCATCTGTTCAATAATTTTTTATGGTAAATACCTAGAAGTAACTTATTCTATTCCAATACAATATAAAAAGCTTTGTTTTTCCCTAGATTCTTTAAAGATATATTTTGTACAAAATTCTAATTAAAGTTTCAGGAAAAATATAAAACTTATTTTAGACTCCTGTGACCTAGAGGCAGTCATTGTTGCATTTCATAAAATATCCTTTCAGAAATCTCTTTATGCATGTATATACCCACATTACTCATGATTTAACATGAAAGGACAGTATTAAACATGGTATTCTTAAAAACTGTTTTTTAAAGTCCAACTACATGTAAAGGAGATACTTCAATGTAAATTAACAGACACACATATGAACTTTCTTATGAACTACATGATATTCCCTAGTTTGGGTAGATAGTTTAACCAATCCTTTATCATTATAAACTTAATTTTCTCTAATTTTTTGTGCCATAAAAAATCATATTGAACATCCTTGAATAAATAAGGTTAGACATTATCAATTAAATTTAGACATTTAATCAATTTCCAAATAAACAAGGCCTGAATGTATGTACCAAAGTTTTGCATTTCTCCCAGCAAAGTCATAACAATTGATATGGGATAAGGTTAGAAGAGCTGTGGTGACACCCTGATTGCTCAGCCCAGGATTACGATTAGCTTCCATCAAAATTTTAAATGTACATACCCTTTGGCCCAATACATAACAGCCAAAGAGACTTCTTCCTATATTAATAAGGCAAAACAACAAATTATGCCAAAGAGATGAAGCAATTCACATAAAAACATAAATGACTAAGCATATGAGAGAGCTATTCAATGTAAAAATCAAGTTACAAAGTATTTGTAAATAGGGAAGGGAGGAGGGGGTGAAGGGAGGGCAGGGATCAGGGGGAAAAAATGAGAACCAAGACCTGTCATGTAAAGGTACAAGAATCCAATGATGAATGTAACTGTACTGTATACCTAAAATGTACCAATAAACTCAATGAGAAAGAAAAAAAAACTAATCAAAAACAAACAAACAAACAAATAAATAAATAAAAACCCCATGGCTAGATAGTACCATTTCACTGGCAGTGGGATTGAAAATTTGTTCTAATCTTTTAAAGGGCAAAGTCAATGCCCTTGATTGACAACCACAATTGGATAAATAAGTGTTCAAGGATATTAACTCTAGCCATCTTTTAAACAGTCAAATGTAAATACAACTGGAATTTTAATTAGTCACAGATCTCATACGTAATCTCATATATATATATGTATATATATATACATATATATATATGGGGAGAGTCCACCAAAAGAATGCATACACACTTTGTGAAAAGAAAAATAGTGTGTTTTTTCGACAGATGCTGTTACCCTTATATGGGTGGGGGGGCTAGAGGATATTTTCTATCACAGAAAACCCACCATGCTGCCAATCATTAGAGAAGTAATGGTAAATGCATGTGCAGCAAACTCAGTGGACCAAGGTTACTCAAGCAGCAATTCACTATAGTAATAAATGTCTTGAAGCTAGTGGACGTTACTTTGAGCACTTCTTCTAATTTGTAGAGGTCAAAGGTAACTTGTATTAATTTCATGATGTCTCAATACATTTGGTTATTAAAATATTTATACAGGTCTTTCTTTTCCTGAAGTATCCATAGACTTTTCAGGAGACTCTGTGTGTGTGTGTGTGTGTGTGTGTGTGTGTGTGCATGTGCGTACATACACTGAATTATTTATTTTGCCTTGTGTATATATACAATACTATAATTACCTTTTCAACTCCTTGTAAGTAGTCAACTATTGGAATGAGGGGAGAAGGTAGTAAAGAGCACATAAAGAAGAATCTATGTTTTCTGAATAATTTTACATTAAATTTTTTAGAAATATATTTATTGGTGCTTTTCTCTGCTTTCAAAAAAATAACCATTCTATTTGTATATTAGAAAAGAATAGCCGGGCATGGTGGTGCATGCTTGTAATCCAGCACTTGGGAGGCTGAGGCAGGAGGATTGCTGTGAGTTTGAGACCAGCCTGTACTATATAGTGAGTTCCAGGTCAGTCTCAACTCCATAGTGAGACCCCGTCTCAAAAAACCAAAACCAAAAAACAAAAAAACAGAAAAGAATAGATATACATATAAAACTAATAAATACCTGATGACAAATTCAACCACAAGTGACATCTCAATTTATAATCAATTATTCTTATTCCCCAGAAACATAAATACTTACGCATTTTATCTTATGTTTTAGTTCTGGATCAACTGTCCCTCCAGGTCCAATTTGTGCAATGACTGACTTGAATGAGTTCTCCAACTATGGAAAAAGGAAAAACAAAGTCAAGTCATAACCTCCCCCCTGGAAAATTAAAAGATAAATCTAAATAATATATAAAGAAGATACCTATAAAAAAGAAATATTTCAACCAAATGGATAATAAAAGACTTCTTAGAAAATGACCCTGTAATATTTCATATCAAAAAACACGTAGATGGAGGGCTGGAGATTTAGCTCAGTGGTACTATGCCTGCCTTGCAAGCACAAAGTCCTGAGTTCGATCCATGGTTCCACAAAATTAAATAAATTTTAAAAATTCAACAAAGTAAAAAACACATAGATGGAAACTTTATGGAACAGGACACTGGAATTTCTCAAGATAACATTCTCTGTCATAGCTTCTATAATGTTCTGTTACTTAATCTCATAGTCTTATTCAAATAGATGTCATTACTAATTTTCTGCACTGTGTACAGAAGATAAATATGATTACAGTCTTATCATCAGAAACTATGCAGCAAGAACATGATGGAATAACACTGTGGAAGTGCTTCAGAAATGAAGACAAAGGCTTTTTCACCTGCACAAAAGCTAAGAATATTTACTACCAACAAGATATTTTTACTGAGCATGTTAAAATTTCCCAGGGAGAACAAAAATTATTCTAGAGGCAAATGAGGACACAAAAGACTGGAGAACATCAGAAATAATAAGTGTAAATAGTAATTTTTATTTAAAATAAAATATTTGAAGCAAAATGGCAATATATTAAGTTGATATATAACATGAAAATTAAAATGTATTGCACAAATAACAAAGAATGGAGTGAATTTACTATTTTAAGGTGCTTATACTACATATGAAATGGCATAATATTGTATTAGTTAATCATGGCATATTAAAACTGTATGTCCCATAAAACAAAGAGGTATAGTGACACAACAGAGATAATGAAATGATAATAGTAATCAGTAACTAAGCAAAGAGCCCCCAACTCATCACTGCTTTTCGAAATCTCTACTTCAATATCAAGTAAAATCCCAGCTAGTAAAATTTTAAAAAGGAAATTAAAAAATAACACAGGCTGGGAAGGAAGATATAAAACTGCCTTTCTTCACAGGTAACATGGTCATCTATCTACATATATACATTCCTTTTTTTTTCTTTTCTTTTCCTTTTTTTTGGTACCGGGAATCAAACTCAGGTCCTTGCACTTGCGAGGCAGGTGGTGGCACCACTGAGCTAAATCCCTGGCTATCTACATATATAATTTGAAAGAATAAAATTTCCTTCCAATAAAGTTTTTGTAAATAGGGAAGGGAGGAGGGGGTGAAGGGAGGGCAGGGATATGGGGAAAAATGAGAACCAAGACCTGTCATGTAAAGGTACAAGATCCCAATGATGGATGTTAACTGTACTGTATATCTAAAATGTACCAATAAACTCAATGAGGAAAAAAAATCCTTCCAGAACTAGTAAGGAATTACACAAGGACACAAGGTTAATGAACCAAAAAAAACAAAAAACAAAAAAAAAACACCTCAGTTACAATGACAAATGCAGCAATTCAAAAAGACTATATAAAAATTCTAAATGTGTGTACAGGTAAAAGAGATTCACAATACCCAAAGCAAAAACTAATCAAACTAAAAGGTAAAACAGACTAATTCATAATTATGTTTGAAGATTTTAATACTCTCCCCCTCAGTAATTCACAGGAAATTTTTTAAAAATCAGCAAAAATATAGAAATCCTAACACTATGACATGTGCGATACACAAGTGCTCTACCCAAATACAGCAGATTATACATTCATTCAAGATGGATTATAAAACACCTACTCAGAAAAACATATTCTGAGCCACATAACAAATCTTACTAACTTTATAAGAAATGAAATGTTTTCTGACCAAATTTGGAGTTAAATTAGAGCTAAATGATAGAAAAATCTCTAAAACTTCCTAAGTATCTTGAAGTTAAGCAACACTATTGCATGAGAACAAAAACTGGGAAATTGGAGAATATTTTTAACTGAATGAAAATTAACATATATCAAAATGTGAGTGAAGTAAATATTTCAAAGAAATTCAAACTAATGTTTATTTAAAAATATGGACCAAAATAAATTACCAAACTTTTATCTTACAAAAAGAGGAAATTAAAGGATAAAAATAAGCATTGAAATCAATGACAGAAAATATGAAAATGCAATAAAACCAAAAGCTGGTCCTTTTAAAAATACACAAATGTATAAACATTTAGCAAGACATACATGGTATGATCAAAATGTATGATGATTTTTTTAATTTAAAAAAATTTATTACACTGAAAGACAGAAACATCATCAAGAGTCCTCAAAATACTCCCTTCTCACTTCAAACACTTATTTCATCTTTCTTGCTGCTGTAAGAAGCAGTTCTCCAAATTAATCCTGTCTTTATGAGATATGATAAAAATACAATGAATACTGTTGCTGTGTGACATCCAATGGGATCATAAAAACGTGGTGTCCCCTCATCTACCTTATTCACCAGATCTAGTACTTTGTAACTTCTGACTCAAAATGACCGTGAAAGGCAAAAGTTTTCTATTGACTCAGGACACCTAGGCAGACAGGACAGTGCAACCAAAGACACTCACAAAAGAGGACTTTCAGAAGTGGCAAGTGATGAAGTAGCTCCTTTAAAAGACAAAGGATCAAAATTTATTCAAGGAAAATAATTATAAAGATATGTCATGTAAAGGTATGAAATCCCAATGATAAATGTAACTGTACTGTATACTTAAAAAGATAAACTCAATTTTAAAAAAAGGAAAAAATTGTAAATTTTAACAGCCCTATATCTGTTCAAGAAACAATGTACAGACAGGAATGGTAGCGCACACCTATAATCCCAGCACTTGGGAGGCTGAGGCAGGAGGACTACCATGAGTTTGCAGACAGCCTGGTATACTACTTTCAAATGTTTCCACAAAGGCAAATCCAGTCCAGTTTACTTCTGCTAAATTTTATGAAATATTTAAGATGAATTAATACCAATGTCATATAAACCTTTTCAGAATAAAGATATAAAAAAATTCCCTTTGAAGAGGATAGTATTACCTTCCAAAACCAGACAAAGATATAAAAAAACTACAGGAGTGTGCCTGCCCTGCCCAGCCAACAACATGGCCTGCCAGGGACCAGTGACAGAGCCCAGAAGAACTAAAAAGCACCCACTACAGGAACAGATTAGAGGGAATGATGATGCAGGGATGACCTGGGGGGCTGACAGTTGTAAAATTACCACATGCTTATTGTGCACTGTGTGCTTAAGGAAGTTAACTTACCATGTGCCTCTAGACCTTTTCCTCACCCCAGAAATAAAGGCTAAGATCCTGAGTGGCCTAAATTACCCAATCAGTGAAATGGTTATTTTTAGAAAACAGTTTACCCCATGAGTACCCAGGACCACCAACCCCACATTGGGTAAACTTGCTCAGGTTTCCTCCCACCTTGTAGCTTGTTCTGCTGCAAGGTATCTTTTTCCTGCATTGCCACTGTAAATAAACTTTGGCTTCAGGTCACTTTCAATTCTGACTTCTTCATTCTCCAAAAGACCCTGACTTTCCTATTTTCCTTTGGTGCCTTTGGCTCTGAGTCTCGCCCCACTTCTTCATTCTTTGCTGGAGTGAGGGCAAGGACCCGGAGAAGCAGAGGGTCATCTCACCAGAGACCACTACCTCCCCAGACCCACGGTGGATTCTACACCACCCACCCCCAGCTGATGCCTCGACCTACCAGTCCCTGCACTGTAGCTGGGAGGAATTGGAAGCCTATCTCTAGTCCCTGGATTCACCATAGCACAGGGCAGCAGAGTTGACAACGAACAGACCAACCTTATTAAAGAGAACTGAGGAGGAGTATCTCACTTCAGGACTGAAGCGATACCCTTCCACAGAGCCTACATAAGAGACACCTTGGGAGATAGGCTCAAAGAGGGTGAGAGCTAAACAGGTATCACCTAGGATCTCCTGGAGACCTCACCTCAGACCAAGAAGATCACAGGGCCTACATTCTCTTGTGGGAGGCCAGGTTCAGTGGGAGCAATCATCAGAAGGGGCAGTCTTAACGCAGTTAACCTAGTGGTGTATTTGAACTCTGGCAGTGCTGCCAACATACAGCAGAAACCAGTGTTTTCAATTACTATAGGTAAATATAAAGGGGCCTAATTATCTTCACTAAAATCAGAGTTCTCTTTTAAAAGGTTGTGCATGAGAAATTCCTATTGTTTATCGCTATCCACTTGACATCTGATGCCATTATTGTCAATGAATTTACTATCACAGACAAAGTAACATAATAATGGCTAGCAACTGGTTTTCTCTCTATACCAACGCCTGGATTGCTTGCAGGTAGGAATTGGTCATAAATAATACTTTGGGGCTTGCTTCAAAGAACAGGCCAAAGAATTTGCAAATCCCAACACAAAAAATAACAACCAAAGAAAACCAGAAACATGACAATATAATGCAACAAAATGTCTCCCAAAACACCATAAATCCCCCAAAATTGGTATGAGGGAGTCAAGGGGGAGGAAATCATATGCCACACAGTAGATAGGTCTGAAAAGGTACCAACAAAGGTAAAACAGTTCTATAAGGTGCTTGGTAAATATAAAGAAGATATATCTAACCACATAATGACCACAATCAAACAAACAATCAGCAAGTCTAGAGAAGACACTAATAAACAGCTACTGGTGTTAAAAAGACACAAAAATGAATGCCCAGCATAGAAAAAAAATAGGAGTCCATAAGAAAGTTCTAAACAAAAATCTAAGAAATTAAAAACACGACTGAAACTAAGGGTAGTAAAAGCAATCAATATGAAGACACAGTGCCAGATCTGTAAGACAGTGCTGTGGTCATGATCAGTTAATGAAAGATACCTGAAAAACAACAAGGAAACATGAAAAATGGATCCAACAGCTCCTAGGTTACTCAAAGAGGCCTAATACAATTGGAATTAGCAAAAAATCAGAAGACAGCACAACAGA